GCCCCAAAGGTCTGAAGTCTTGATGTGCTCAATGAGGGACATACAAGAACGGCACAGGTGCAGATCTTTCACTCCATTTTTCAGGGAACTCTTGCAAGATTCACAAAGAGAATCCTTGTTTATGGCCAACACAAACAAAGACCTTGTCCCAGAGCCAGGAGAGCTTACCACTGGGGACTGCAAATCTCCAGCTGGAGTTTTAGGAGAGTCGATATTGAATATCCTGAAACACACACCACTCATTGGGGTCTTGGGTTGGCTCTCTGGAGAGGCCAAGGTTGACATCACTGTGTTTGCATCATATTTTGAAGGCAGAACACCAACGCTTTTCTGACTTGACTCTTTGAAATCAGCTGTGTCTCCTCTACCGTTAACAGTTCTTGGTCCTTTTGTTGATTTCCTAATCCTTGCTGACTGGGTTTTGCATCTCAGACATTCATCTCTTGTTTCTTCACTGCTAATTTGTGACGATCTCAACTCTGTTGGGTAGCTATTGTCAGTCCTATGCTTTAGCCAATTAACTATACCCATAGCCATAGATATCTCAGTGTCACAAAGCTTTAGTAAGCAATCCTTCCCCATCCATTTACTTTGCAGAAGCTCTTGACCAACAAAGTCCTGAGCCAAAGGTGGGGCAAGATTCTCCTCTGCTCCAACATGGAAGCTGTACATGGATAATGGAAGATCACTGCACTGGCCAACAATGCTGTCTGTTAGATTGATCTCATCATTAAAGATCGAGGTCATCTCTGCCTCGCTGGGGTCACAGAATAGCTCATAAAGAGCATCTCTACTGTACGTGTCCCTAGGGAACTTAATGGAATGCACTGGAGTGTGGGAACTTCTGTTGTGGTCCTCAAAACCAGGAGAAACATAATCACAGTAGCCCTCATCACTGGTGTTCCCTTGCTTATCACTTTTGGGTGTTATCACATCAGTTTTAAATTCCCTGATCTCGGACTCTACAGGTTGTGGTGTATTTGTTGTTTCATCTTCAGACTTGGTTGTGGAAGGAGATTTTGTGATAGGGGTTGTGGATTTTGTTGCATGTCCTGTTGCTTTTGAACTTTGCCCTAGAAGCAAAGTTCTGTTTAGAGTTTCCCACAACCCAAACATGTCTAGGACCTCAGCGTGCACTGGAGAAGCCAGACACTCCTTACCTCCCTGGAAATCTGTTGTAGTAGGGCTTTGCCTCAGATGTTCACAGGCAACTTTGTGATGCTCGGGGCTAACGACCCCCTCAGGTGATACAAGTTCATCAGCAAATATCTTGCCACAACCAGACTGAGATCCAAAGCTTTTTAATGAAGCAGCATCCTCACAGACATTAGCACAACATTCACTGGAAGAATCGGAGGGAGTCTCACTGAGTTCATCATTATATCGGTTACCTGCAGTGGTACGTTCTCGGTGCCTTACCGTCTTCCTCGTCCGTTTCAATGTTGGAACATTCTCACCTGCAACATGACATGGTGTACTTGGTGACATAGCTTTCTCATGTTTGTGTCTATTGTGAACAAACAAGTCCTTAATGGCCTTTCTAGGTTTCCTCAGGGAGATCCTATTTTTAGGAATGGATTTGGCTATGCAGGGCACAAAGGGCACTTGAGGTGTTAGGTTACGGTAATCAATGATTTTATGACTGTTGCCAGATGTATCTCGATTCTCACGAAGCAGCCTTAGAGGTGCCTCGAATCCTGAAAAGCTGACACTGGTCACCAGCTTATGGTGATGGTGCCAGTTGGTCCCATCTTTGTACACAGGGCTCACAGCTTGCTGCTGTCCCGTTCCTCTCACACAGTCATGGGTTATGCTTCTTCTAAAAGAGCCATGGAACTGCCTATGACCTTCTGAGAGCGTGTCACTAACCCCTGGAGACAGTATGTCCAGAGTGTCTGGCACAGGCAGTGAGGATGGGCTTTCATCAGTACTGTGTGTATTCACAAATCCATTCTTAGTGGTGGTTTGAGATTTGTGCTCTTCAGGCCATTTACTCCAGCCATGTGCCTTACTTGACCTCTTCCGATCAACTGAAGGATCTTCGCTCTTTGACAGCTCCATGTTTTCATACACATAACTGTAACTAGATATGAGACAAATGCAGGATACAGTAAATATAGGAGGATTATTTATGATTTTTATTTCATTTTTCAAATATTTTACAATGTTATATTGTAATTTAATCATAAATGTGTCTACTATTTCATCCTTTATCACTCAAACCTAGGGTTGCAAAGGGGCGGAAAATTTCCGGAAATTTTCCGGAAACCTTCCATGGGAACTTCGTCTGGGGAATTTTGGAAATATTCCAAGTTTGAAACTTACCAGGAATTTTTGGGAATTTATAGGAATTAATTGAAAATTTGGGGAAATTTATAAAACTATCATATACAAACATAAATATAAACATTTTGCTTGATCATTGGCTCACATGCATGCAAACTAATACAAATTTTAAAAATGACATTTTTGGAGGAAATCGGTGATGCTTTTTTAGGATTTATTGATGATTGAAAACTTGTGAACAGTGTTTATTCAAAATATAAATCTTTTCTAACAATATAAGTCTTTACTATTACTTTTTATTAATTTAACACATCCTTGTTGAATAAAAGTATTAATTTATTTCAAAAAAAGAGAAAAGATACTAACCCCAAACTTTTGAATGGTAGTGTATTGTTAAAAAAGGATTTCTATTTTAAATAAACGCTGTTCTTTTTTTAACTCTTTATTCATTAAAGAATCCTGAAAAAAGAATCACAGGTAATAATAAAAAAAAAATTTAAACAGCACAACTGTTTCCAAAATTGATTATAAATAAGCATATTAGAATGATTTCTGAAGAATCATGTGTGTGTGGGGGAGGGTCATTTTTAGACTTCCGTTTTATTATTATCTCACCTAAATGTTTGTTCCAGTCTATGGTTTGTTCAGTCAGTGTATTTGTTTTTACAATGGTATAGCCTAATTTAGTTGCACGGTATATTACACACAGCACAAGGAAGTTTTAAACAATTGTTTTTGTAATATTCATTTAATTTACATGAATACTTACCAAGATGGACATTTTGATATTTTGTGTGCAGGATTTAAGAAATGATCTGTTCATGTTATGGAGGAAAGCAGTGCATGTAGTGTGTGTGGCCTCAATAGCCCTGCAGTAAGTAGTGTGCTGTGTGTGCATGTGATTGAGCAATGTGTAGGGTAGAAATTAAACTGAAATTGCATTAAATCAGGTTGTTTTAACCAAGATTATGCTGCAAGATTTTTTCTCAACTACATTTCAGTCCCCAGTTCCTGCAATTTTGCAAATTTCTAGTTTATTCCCATAAATTCCCGTTAATTCACATATATTCCCATGGAAAGTTTCCAGTCTTGAAAATTCCGGGAATTTTGCAACCCTACTCAAACCTGAACCAGATTAAGAACATTAAAAAAAAAAAAAAAAACTGTTAAAATGCACAACATTTAATACACCTTATTTAAAATATAAGAAAATAAAAAAAAATTATATCTAATGTTTTGCTTTAATTTTTGATGCTTTTGAATCTACACTTTAAACTGGCTATGAGATCAGTGAGAAATTTCTATATGCAACAAAAATTCACAATAAATGAATCTTCAAAACAAGTAATGAACATTATTTCAAAAAAAAAAAATGAGAAGGCTGCTCTTATCAGCTGAACAATATTCATTTAAAAAGGATTTTAAACTCATTTTACAATTGTTATTCCACATTTGTCTGTTTTATATTATTCCTGACAGCTAGAAGATTCATTGCAGCACATATGTGAAAACTATTCAGTAATAAACAGTAACTATATTATTTTGATGCGTGCTATTATTTGACGTAATAGGGCAAAGTGTAATACTTCTTGTATTTAAATCAATACAATGGTCCAGTATTATGCAACTATTTATTCCACAGTTGCTACAATGTAAATATTTATACTACACAGCTATTTTAAAGTATATTTTATAGCAAAAGATGACTACAAAAAGGTTGATTTGTAGTAAGAAAAAAAGGATGTAGCAATTGCCTATTGTGCACTTCGTTTGATTGAAACACTTCGTTAATACTGATATCATTTAACTGTAACTCAAATCTGATAACACAAGGACAATCTGTATAGCTTATAAAATAGGTCACACATGAATATTATGACAAGATTGAGCATTATATGGCTCTACAATTTGCAATAAACAACGGGTCATACTACCGGGAATGAGCCAATCGCAAAAACCTCACAAAAACAAAATTCCATTGATTTTATATTTAGGAATAACTCCTGTTTGTAACGTACTCTAGCCCCACTGGCTTGCAATTCGTCGTTCGATTTAATTTGAGCAACGCCTTGATACACACGTTTTTGCTTAAAACAAAGTCCACTGAATTCTAATAAATGAACGAATTCGAATGGCACGTCATTTCGGCGGTCATTTTAATACATACCTGAAGCAGATTGACACGAAAGGCGTTTGGCGGGAGCTGGACTGGTGGTTCACAAGCGCGTGACAAGATGGGATGCTCTGGCTGTCGGCGCGCGTGCGGAGATAATTACGATAGCCAATCAGAAGACAGAATAACGCTCACAACACAGCATCATCACTCGCTGATCATACGCCTGGAGACAACGAGCGCGGAACGTTTTCACACCCTGTGGACACTGAAATATCACCGAAGGGCTTTCATAACATCTCTGGTTGTGAAATATAAAGCCTCCAGGCTCAGCTCAAACTGAGAGACGAATATTAACAATATATTCCCCTAAAAAAATAAATAAAAGAAAACCGGTGCATCACAAACCACTAATTCCATTAAAGCCACTTCACTCAACTTAAAGCCACAATAATAGCTATTTGAATCCATAGAATAATTTTAAATAATTAGTGCTAAAACAAAGCTAATGCTTAATGTTTGCTTGTACTATGACACTAATGTTAATATTTTACTTGTAAATCAAAACACATAAGAATGAAGTTTCATTCTTGAAATGTGAAATTTTATTAAACTTCTGAGAAACACTGAACACAAGAGACAACAATTTTTAGGGAAAAAAAGTTCAGAACTAAACAGAAATATTATGTTCTCCAACTCTGAAGTGCAAATGTTGATCACAGATAAGGACCCCATCCAAGGTACATAAGGCACAGGAGGTTATCATCCGTGGCTTCTTGAATGAGATAGTGTGCATGGCCCTCAATAGACAGAGGCAGGCCCATCACTTTATTCCTGTTCTTGATCACTCCCTGAAGACGCTGGTCTATGTCCAGAACATGAGTCTTAGCCTAGAGTGGAACAAAACCAAATTATGGCTATTTACAACTATTATTTAAGCTCATTACTTAATCTACAGTAAAATGCAACAGCTCAAATTGCATATAAAGATGAGCAGGGCCGTTTCTAGGCATAGGCGAGCTAGGCGGTCGCCTAGGGCGCCACCAGCTGAAGGGGCGCCAATGAGCGCACGTACTGGCACTCTTAGCAGGGTTGTGATAAAGAGTGGCACGGTCACCCTGAAATATGACTGCCGCCCCCACTGGATCCCCCA